TACTTTCCCTCTCTTGTGCCACAGTTTCCCTATCTGTATATACGGATAATGAGCGTTTTAGGGATAGTGAGAGTGCTTTGGTACAGCATTTTGAGCTCTCCCGATGATACGAGCTAGGGATTGTTATGGGCGATTAACACCCTAGATTGTTGCAAATTAAAAATCTAATTTCTTCCCCCATCCCCAATCCTCACCTTTCTTCAGGCCATCTTTTTTTTTAACCTGGGGAAGAGGTGGTGGTTTGTCTGTTGTTTGCATTTCTCTTTGCTTGGTAGAGACCTTTTGTCTCGGGGTTCTCCCACGGGGGGACAGCTGAGCTGCATTGCCAATGGGGGGAGAAGGGTTACTTGTTTACAAAAAGAAACTGGAGAAGTTTGGTGATTAAAATTAAAGCTGGCAACAGTTAAGCCGCTGGCGTGCCGGGACCACCGGTCGTCATTCGGACCACTGTGGTCTGTTTTCTTCTACTCTCCTGTCGGTTTGTCTGTCTCCACCTGCTGTCTCTCGTCTTACACTCACGTTGTGAGCCCTTTGGGGGCAAGGCCCATGGGTTTGTTGTGTGTTTGTTCAGTGCCTAGCGCAGTGGAGACCTGACAGATTCCTAGGCATGACAGTGATACAAATAATAATATAATGGGAACAATTTCTGCTCAGGCTTAGGTTTCGAAAAGCTGGTTTTTAACCAACCCCTCCAACCCCCTTGTTAACCCAAATGTGACCTTTCAAATATCAATCAGAATTATTATGAATGTATTGACTCCTATTATGTGTATTCTAGGCCAACAGAGATGGGGAACCCATTGGGACGGGCACTACAGGGTAAGAGACAAAAAAGCTTACAAGCTAAAGAGACAAAGAGTGGGAGGGGAAACTGAGGTACAGAAAGGTGAGGGACATGCTCTAGGGCACCCAGCATGTCAGTGACAGAGCTGGGAACAGAACCCAGGAGTCCTGAGTCACTGAACGCTAATTATTATTGGATCATTCTATAAGTCTGGCTCCCCGTCGTTCTCCGGTCTTGATGCCAGGCTTGAAAATGTGAACGCACATCCCCCTCCTCGGGGTAAGAAATGCCTTTTCCTCCAGGCGCCTGTATCTTCCCCAGCCGCTTGTTCCTGAGCCAGCTGCCTCTGCCCCCAAACCCAGAGGGAAACAGCCTTGGGACCCGCCCCCCCAAGCTTAATGCTTCTGCTGCTTGCCCCCTGGGTACTGCCCCAAACGCAGACTGCCTCCCACTGCCTGGGCCCAGACCCCTGCCCTGGCTCATAACCTCTGACACGCGGTTAGTGCCCCCTGCCCCCTGCTCCTGCCCCCACAGAATAATGTCCCCGACCCCTCCCTCAGTTAATGCCCTCCAACCCCTCCCCTCTGCCATCTCCCCCGGTTACTGCCCCAACCCCTTCCCTCCGACCCCTCCCCTCCTCTGGTTAATACCCCCTAGCCCCTCCCCCAGCTAATGCCCCTGCCCCCGCCCCTCTGACCTCTCCTGTGGTTAATGCCCCCTGACTCCTCCCCTCTGACCCCTCCCCCAGCTAATGCCCCTGCCCCCGCCCCTCTGACCTCTCCTGTGGTTAATGCCCCCTGCCCCCTCCCCTCTGACCCCTCCCTCAGCTAATGCCCCCGCCCCCGCCCCTCTGACCTCTCCTGTGGTTAATGCCCCCTGACTCCTCCCCTCTGACCCCTCCCTCAGCTAATGCCCCGCCCCCTCCCATTTGACCCCTCCCCTCTGGCCCCTCCCCCGCACTCACCGCCCGGCCGGGGGCTCTGTCCGGCGGCGCAGGGAGCGGCCGGGTCGGGCCAGAACCGCCGGGGGCTGGAACCCAACGGTCGCGAGCCCCCTTCGAACCCCCCGCCCCCTCACAGCCCCCCCGCGAGCCCTCTTCGAACCCCCCGCGTCCTTCGAGCCCCGCCCCCTCAGCCCCCCCCGCGAGCCCCCTTCGAACCCCCCGCCCCCTCACACCCCCCCGCGACCCTCTTCGAACCCCCCGCGTCCTTCGAGCCCCGCCCCCTCAGCCCCCCCCCGAGCCCCCTTCGAACCCCCCCCCCCTCACAGCCCCCCCCGCGAGCCCCCTTCGAACCCCCCGCGTCCTTCGAGCCCCGCCCCCTCAGCCCCCCCCCGCGAGCCCCCTTCGAACCCCCCGCGTCCTTCGAGCCCCGCCCCCTCAGCCCCCCCCGCGAGCCCCCTTCGAACCCCCCGCGTCCTTCGAGCCCCCCCCCTCACAGCCCCCCCCGAGAACCCCCTTCGAACCCCCCGCGTCCTTCGAACACCCCGCCCCCTCAGCCCCCCCCCGCGAGCCCCCTTCGAACCCCCCGCGTCCTTCGAGCCCCGCCCCCTCAGCCCCCCCCCCGGAGCCCCCTTCGAACCCCCCGCCCCCTCACAGCCCCCCCCCCGCGAGCCCCCTTCGAACCCCCCGCGGCCTTCGAGCCCCGCCCCCTCAGCCCCCCCCGCGAGCCCCCTTCGAACCCCCCGCATCCTTCGAGCCCCCCCTCCACAGCCCCCCCGCGAGCCCCCTTCGAACCTCCCGCGTCCTTCGAGCCCCGCCCCCTCAGCCCCCCCCGCGAGCCCCCTTTGAACCCCCCGCCCCCTCACAGCCCCCCCCCGCGAACCCCTTCGAACCCCCCGCGGCCTTTGAGCCCCCCCTCACAGCCCCCCCGCGAGCCCCCTTCGAACCTCCCGCGTCTTTCGAGCCCCGCCCCCTCAGCCCCCCGCGAGCCCCCTTCGAACCCCCCGCGTCCTTCGAGCCCCGCCCCCTCAGCCCCCCCCGCGAACCCCCTTCGAACCCCCTGCGGCCTTCGAGCCCCCCCTCACAGCCCCCCGCGAACCCCTTCGAACCCCCCACGGCCTTCGAGCCCCGCCCCCTCAGCCCCCCCCGCGAGCCCCCTTCGAACCCCCCGCGTCCTTCGAGCCCTCCCCTCACAGCCCCCCCGCGAGCCCCCTTCGAACCCCCCGCGTCCTTCGAGCCCCGCCCCCTCAGCCCCCCCCGCGAGCCCCCTTCGAACCCCCCGCGTCATTCGAGCCCCGCCCCCTCACAGCCCCCGCCGAGCCCCTTCGAACCCTCCGCCCCCTCACAGCCCCCCCCACGAGCCCCCTTCAAACCCCCCGCCCCCTCCACAGCCCCCCCCGTGAACCGCTTCGAACCCCCCGCGTCCTTCGAGCCCCGCCCCCTCACAGCCCCCCCGCGAGCCCCCTTCGAACCCCCCGCGTACTTCGAGCCCCGCCCCCTCACAGCCCCCCCGCGAGCCCCCTTCGAACCCCCCGCATCCTTCGAGCCCCGCCCCCTCAGCCCCCCCCCGCGAGCCCCCTTCGAACCCCCGCGTCCTTCGAGCCCCCCTCCACAGCCCCCCGAACCCCCTCGAACCCCCGCGTCCTTCGAGCCCCGCCCCCTCACAGCCCCCCGCGAGCCCCCTTCGAACCCCCGCGTCCTTCGAGCCCCGCCCCCTCCACAGCCCCCCCCGAGCCCCCTTCGAACCCCCCCGCCCCCTCACAGCCCCCCGCGAGCCCCCTTCGAACCCCCTGCGTCCTTCGAGCCCCGCCCCCTCAGCCCCCCCGCGAGCCCCCTTCGAACCCCCGCGTCCTTCGAGCCCCGCCCCCTCACAGCCCCCCCGCGAGCCCCCTTCGAACCCCCGCATCCTTCGAGCCCCGCCCCCTCAGCCCCCCCCGCGAGCCCCCTTCGAACCCCCGCGTCCTTCGAGCCCCGCCCCCTCAGCCCCCCTGCGAGCCCCCTTCGAACCCCCGCGTCCTTCGAGCCCCCCCTTACAGCCCCCCCGCGAGCCCCCTTCGAACCCCCCCGCCCCCTCACAGCCCCCCCCCCGCGAACCCCTTCGAACCCCCCGCGGCCTTCGAGCCCCGCCCCCTCAGCCCCCCCGAGCCCCTTCGAAACCCCTGCCCCCTCACAGCCCCCCCCCGAGCCCCCTTCGAACCCCCGCCCCCTCCACAGCCCCCCACGAGCCCCTTCGAACCCCCCACGTCCTTTGAACCCCCCGCCCCCTCACAGCCCCCCTGCGAACCCCCTTCGAACCCCCCGCCCCCTTAGCCCCCCCGCGAGCCCCTTCGAACCCCCCCACATCCTTCGAGCCCCGCCCCCTCAGCCCCCCCGCGAGCCCCCTTTGAACCCCCCGCCCCCTCACATCCCCCGCGAGCCCCTTCGAATCCCCACGTCCTTCGAACCCTCTGCCCCCTCACAGCCCCCCCGCGAGCCCTCTTCGAATCCCCCGCCCCCTCACAGCCCCCCCCCCGCGAGCCCCTTTGAACCCCTGCGTCCTTCGAGCCCCACCCCGCCGCGAGCCCTCTTCGTAACCCTCTGTCCTTCGAGCCCTGTGCCCCCATAGTCCCCGCCCCCTCACAGCCCCCCATGAGCCCATACCCCTGCGAGCCCCGAGAGGCCCTGCCCCCTCACAGCCCCCCTGTGAGCCCCCAGAGTCCCTGCCCCCCACAGCGCCCACCCCCGCACAGCCGCCCTATGAGCCCCCAGAGCCCCTGCCCCGCACAGCCCCCCTGGGAGCCCCATGCCCCCAGAACCCCTGCCCCCTCACAGCCCCCCCGTGAGCCCTGCCCCACGTGAGCCCCCAGAGCCCCCTCCCCCTCACAGCCCCCCCCAGGAGCCCCACACGTCCTTCGAGCCCTGCCCGCTCAGAATCTCTGTGAGCCCTGCAGTCCCCCCGTGAATCCCCTTTGCCCCTCTGAACCCCTCCATCCTTTGAGCCCCGTCCCCTCACGCCCCCGCAAGGCTCCCATAGAACCTCCCCTGTCCTGCAAGCTCCGCCCCCTCAGACTCCCATGTCCTTCCAGCCCTACCCCCTCTGAATCCCCGCAAGCCCCCTCCCCAGAGCCCTCCCACGACCACCCCCATCAGAACCTCCCTGCCCCCACAACCCCCCCGCCTCTATAGCCTCCCCACAAGCCCCCCACCAACCCTGCCCCTCGCAGCCTCCCTGCCCCCTCAGAATCCCCTGTGCACTCCACAGGCTAGAGTCCCCCGTACATCCCCAGAGCCCCCCCTTCATGCGACCCACCTGAGCCAGTGCCCCTCCTATGGTCCTCCTGGTCCAGAGCCCCGCTCCATGCAACTCCCTCCCAGGCTAGAGTGCCCCCCTTCCATGCAGCCCTCAGGGCACAGCCAGCCCCCCCTCCCCCACTGTGTATCCTCCCCACCCCTTGGGGGGCAGAGTTGCCCCTCATGTGACTCCTGCTCAACTCCAATATTCCCCACCCACAGCATCCTCTGGTGCACCCTCTCCCTGAAGGACAGGGCAATCCTCCCCCCAGCCAGATGCAGACTTCCCCCCAGTATCTTCCTTCCTCGGGGTCAGTTACCACCTCCCAAGTATTTCCTCTCCCCCCTCCCCACCAGCACAGCGCATCTGTCTGTCCTTCCTGGAAGATGATTCCCGCCTTCCAGGTAGGTGCACTCCCTCTCGTTCCGCCACAGTACAGACCCCCCCCATCCCAGGACCAGGTGCATCCCCCTATACAATGAGACTGACCCCCCCCCCCCCAAAGTCCAGTGCAGTCCCCCTGCATCTGCCCTTCCTTGGGCACCAGGGACAGGAGATCCCTCTCCCAGTGTAGAACCCCTTCCAGTCAACTAAACCCTGCCTCCCCTCCCTTCCCCAGAACCATCCCCTCCCACTCCTCCGCATTACAGAGCCCCCAGGGGGCTGTGCATCCCCCATACAATGAGCCTGCTGCCCCTGCCCGCCCCCCCCCCCATCCCATGCAGCCCCCAAAGCACCATGGCCAGAAACTTTCCACCCCAGCCAAGAACAGAGCTTGCTCCTAAATCTGAGCAGGCACAGCTGCTAACTGAGGTGGAGGCCTTAGCTGTGTACTGGCTGGGCTGGGGTGTCACACCTGGGGCAGGAGGTCCACGACTTGGGAGGCTGGCCTTGGATTCCCTGCTCTGCTGTAGACCACCTGAATGACCTTGACCAGGTCCTTCCGGCCCAGATTTTTAACTGTTGCAAGGCCTAGAGGATTGGATGTAGGCTTCTAAGTGCCGACATGATAATGGGGCTCATGAATCTGCAGGGCATTACGACGCTGGGTGCCTAAACACCTTTTAAAATCTGGGCTGTAACTTTGTTGTGCCTCGGTTTCCTCATCTGTACAGTGGGGATAATAGTCCTGTCAATACCAGGGGCATTGTGGAGCTAACAAGATTAAAGATTGTGAGGTGTGCAGGTACTGTTGGGGGGAGGAGGAGGAACATGTAATAATCCCTAACCCTTATCAGTAGATGTTGAAACCGATCTCCTTCGTGAAGTGCATTATTATTCCTATTTTACGGATGGGGAAACTGAGGCACAGAACGAGGAAGTGACTTGCCCAAGGTCACCCAGCAGGCCGGTGCTAGGAATAGAACCCCGGTCTCCTGCCTCCTCATATAACACTGCCTCCTCATATAAGCACTTTGGGTAGATAGCCAGATTGTCCTTGGCAGTGTTAAATGCCAGGCTCAATCCTTTGCCCCCTCTAAGCACACACCCATGAATCCATGTGTTTCCCCAGTAAGAACATCAAGTCCCACTCATTTATCCCTCTCCTGGGGCTTCAACCCTTGTCATGGCAATAACCAAACCTCCTGTTCTTGTGCATTTAAAAGGAAAGAGGGTTTGGAGGTTGGTTTTTTTAGAATTAAAATTGCCCTTAGGGGCTCAGAATCTGGGTTAATTTTTTTCAATTGATCAATTTTGTAATAACAGGAACTGGAGACCCAGGGTCCTAGGCACAAAGCCTGGATCTAGAACCAAACTTTCCCGCCGCTGGGAAAACCAGTTTGGCTCATGAGTTGCAAAATTAGGATCAAGGTAGGTTCTTCTCTGGCATCACCATAGTAACCAAGCCTCAGAAACGCTGATGGGTTTATCCTCACACTCCCTCTCTGAAGGGACTTAGCTTCACTCTCCCGGTTTTATAGCTAGGGAACTGACGCACACAGAGAAGCCCAGACTCAGGAAGCTACTTAAGCACATGCCCGCTGTCCTTCAGCAAGTCTGTAGCAACGCCTGGGCATTGAACCCAGAGCACTGGTGTCCCAGTCAGTTCTTTACCCACAGGACCGTCCTTCCTCTTGCATGAGAAATTTAATTCTGATCTAACCCCCAATTCAGGCATGTTCTGGGCCCTGGTTCTGGCCTGCTAGAGCTGGAGATGACATACAAAATTTGGATCGGGACTTTGGTTTGCATTCCAATCCACTTCATCGTTTGGATCTAGTGCTTCGGTACCAGCCAGTTAGAGATAACGAGACGAGCTGTGAAATTCAGACTGGATCTGGGTGTGCAAGCTGATCCCTCCCATTGTTCAGACCTGGGATTCTGCTTTGGCATGTTGAGATGGGATATAGAATCATAGAAATGTGAGGCTGGAAGGGACCTTGAGAAGTCATCAAGTCCAGCCTCCTGCGCTGAGGCAGGACCTTGTAAACCCTAGACCATCCCTGACAGGTGTTTGTCCAACATGATCTTCGACATTAGAATTCGGATTGGCTCTGGGTTTGCGTGCGGATCCTCCCCAGAGTTCTGATCTCGGATTCTGCTTGGGCTCAGTGGGACGAGAGATGAGACTGGGATCGGATCTTGGTTTGCGTGCTGGTCCTCCCTCGATTTCAAACCTGGGATTCTGGTTCTGGCCCATTATATAGACAAGGTGAGAAATTCAGCACTGGATCTGGGTTTGCTTGCCAATCTGCCCGAGGCTCTTCCAAGCCCGGTTCCGACCCACGTCCTCTTCCCTCCGTAACCATCGGCGGATGATTAATGTTCAGATGCTTTGATTTCCCCTCCCCTAATCCTATAGGGGCATTAGGACCAAGTGGAATCCACTTTTCTCTGTTCCTTTTCCCTTTTCCCAGCTCAGCTTTGGATTCTCTCTTCTCTCCCCAGCTCCTGGTTCTCCACTCCCGGTGTAAGAAATCAGTCCAGGCCCCCAGCTGTGGTCAGTATTAACCAAGGCAGGTGCAGTGGCGGGGAGGGAGGGTGGGTTGGGAATGGGGGGGATAGGAAAAAAGGGGGAGGAGGGATTAGAAATGTTACTTGCTGAAAAATGGCTGCTGGATCTTCATTCTCCTTATAATGATGAACAACTAAAAAGAAAAGAAATTTTTAAAAAATTGAAAATCCTACCAACATATAAAACACACACAAGCCACACACACAGAGCAGCTGCACCAGCCATGGAAGTAGAGTGAGTCGGTCTTCATTTTCCATCTGCCCCCCCATTAAAAAAATCCCCATAAAAGCAAGAAAAGGGGGGGATATTTTAACCCAATTTATGCCCCCCTTTTTTTGGCAAAACAATCGAGATTTTAAAATTTTGTTTTGCTGCCTAAAAAAATAATAATTTTCATTTGAGAAGGAGGCAAAATAAAATGACATCTTTAAAAACATCTTGCATGCTTTCATTTCTCCATTCTCCTTCTTCCCAGCTGCTGCTGCTGCTGTTTTTAATTTAATTTCTTCTCTCCATCCTCTTTTATTTTTAATGATGTTTTTAATGCCAAAACCATTTTATTATGAATTTTTTTTTATGAATGAAATTAGATGTCCCCCCTCCCTAAAAGGGTGGGGGGACGTGAAGGGTATTTGTTTGTGAATCAATCCTATTTGCATCTGGATTCATTCATAAAAAAAAAAAAAGAAGACAGGGTTCACCTAGAGGATCCATCATGGTGGGTTTAATTTCCTTCCCTTCTTGGCATGTCAGTTTTTTGGTTGGGGAGGGGGATGTAGGGAGTGGGAGGGGGTCCTTTATATCTGGTACTGTCACACGGTGGGAATTGGTGACTGTTTAAAACTGAGATGTGGAGTGAAGCTGACACATCCTGTGACTATATTTCCCCTCCTATATATCTTGGATTCTTTTTTTTTTCTTGTTCACCTGTTGTTTATTGAAGGGAGAGGGACAAAGAGCCTAGCTTGGGTCATGTGACCCTCCATTCACAAAAATCCCATGGTTTCCATTGAGATGGGCTGAAAGGATCAAGCAGTTGGGCCATAGATAAGCGTTTTCAACATACCTTTTTGCATGCATGTTGTCCAGTACCTACAGCATTGGCAGAGGGGAAGCCAGTGGTGCTTGGGGGTGGGGGGGTTACAGATCACATCTGGGGTGTTTCTTTCTACAAAATAAATTCTACTGTTTTGATTCCATAAATATATGCACCAGCAGACAGCTTCTGCAAGAAGGTTCGCAACTGGACAGTATGTATCTGGGCATGATCTATAGCCATTGTATGTTTGTTTGGGTTGGATTTTAATTTGTGTGTGTTTGTTGCAGGAAAAGAGTGCTTAGAAGATGCTTTGATGGTGAATTTTAAAATATTGTGCTCTAGGAATATTTCATTTATTTGTTCGGAAGGATGTGGGATTTTTTTAAAAAAATGTAGCCCCTGCAAATAGGGAGGCCAGGGTGTGGGTAAGAGAATCGAATTTCCAATGTGTATTATATAGATCTATAATTTTAGGCTTTGGTTGTGTTTGGGGGTAGTGGGGGTGGGGAATGAGACATGCATTTTAAGCCCTGGCAAAAGGTCTGTTTGATTTTTAGTCATAGTGGGTAATTATATATATAATATTTAAATTTAATTCATGGTTGTGTGAGCAGAAGGGTTTGGGTTTATTTATTTATTATTTTAAAATTTTCCTCCCTGTGTTAAATAAATAAAAACCCTGCAGTGAAAAACCCCAGATCTGATATTTTTTAATGATTATTTTTTTAAAGTGTTATGATGGTGGGGCTTGGAGAAAAATGCTTGGTTGTGTGGACTGGAAAATGGGGAATGGCTGACTTGGGGTGTTTGTAAGGATGCCTTATGTCTTTGAACAGTGTTGTCCTTTTCGCGTCTGTAGCCGCCCCATTTCTCCCTTATTTTCCTCCCCCCACCCTCCTAAAAACCAGGGATCTGTAGATCCACTTTGCTTCAGTATCTTTGATCTTGTAATACATAATGTCGTTTCCCATGGCAACGCGTTGTGATGTCATGTATATGCTTAAAACACTCTTAATTATTGTATTCTTATATTTTAGGGGGGGGCAATCTGGTGTTTGCTTCTGATTTTTTACTTTATTAAGGGGATTGTCTTAAAAGGGTCTTCATTCATATTCTGAATTATCGGAAATGCATTGCACTGTCTTCTGATTGGTGGAGAGAGCTTCTTTCATTACATACCGGTGGTCAGTTGATTTTATTTAAGCAGGAAAGTTTTCATTCTTGTTTTCTGTTGTTGCAAAAGTTGACCATTTATTTCAGAGCAAAATTGAGAAGTAAATGTGTGTGCGTATGTGTGTAATGAGGCAAAATATCAGTAGCTGCAAAATATAACTTTTTCACAGAGGAGCGGGCTCTGGTGGGTAGAACAGGGGTGAGGCTGTGAATCAGGACTCCTGAGTTCCATTCCCAGTTCTGCCACAACTATGCTGCATATCGTTCAGCGAGCCAGTTCCCCTGCTCCGTGCCTCAGTTCCTCCATCTGTAAAATGGAAATAATGAATCTGATCCATTTCTCAGAGGAACCAGGAGCCTAGATCCATCCATGCTTGAAAAGTGCTCTCAGCAACTCCGAGGGGAGGCACGTTCACCACGCTTAGTGCATTCATGGCTGGCAAAGGGCACGCCTGCTTGGCTACAACTTGCAGCGCCTCCTGCTGGCTCTTCTGTCATCAAGGGCTCATGCTGTGGGAGGGCTGGGTCAGCCTTGCTATTTCCATTTTACAGATGGGGAAATGGGGACAGAGCGGGGGAGGTGACTTTCTCGACAATGCATAGCAGTGGCAGACCTGGGAATAGAACCGAGGAGCCCTGACTCCGAGATTCCCTTGCCCAAACCATTAGACCCCAGTGCTGGGACAGAACCCAGGAGGCCTGGCTCCCAGTCCCCCTGTTCTAACCACTAGACTCCACTCCCTGTCTCCCCACTTGTTAAACAGTAAACCCAGAAAAAGCATGCAGCATTTATCCTAGTAGTAGGACCACACTTTTCCATTCTGGGCGCCCCCTCCTATATAGCAGAGTCCTCCCCTTCCCAAGTAACCATAAGAGACCCCCGAAAGCCTGCTCGCAATCTTATCTGGGTAACACCCATTGTAACATTTGCCCGATTGCAGGTTTGTTTTTGTAGGGCCTTTTGGTTTAGCATGAAATGATACAAAGCCATCCCAAACGTCATTCTAAACTTGACGCAGCAATCTCTATTCTTTTAATATACACCCATGTTTTAATATGATTTTATTTTAAGTAAAACAGTCGTAGCTGGTGAATAAAGCAAAATGAGTAATCGCTCTTGGGTTTCAGCAGGGGGACTTGTGTCAGATGGATCATGTGAAATATTATTATTTATGCCTCCAGCTCCATTAATGTGTTCAAGGCAGAGTGGGCAATGGTTAGAGTTCTGGATGGGAAGTCAGCAGGCCTGGGTTCTGTGCCTGGAAATGTCGGCTAGTGGTTAGAGCAGGGGGGCCTGGGAGTCAGGACTCCTGGATTCTGTTCCTGCCTCTGAGAAGGGAGTAGGGGGTCTGGGTTCCAGATCTGGCTCTGGGATGGGGGTGGGGAGTGGGGACTGGTGGGTTATGTCCTGCTCTGGGAGGGGAGTGGATGTGTGGGACTCAGGGCTCTGGGTTCTGTTTCCAGTCCTGCCACTCATGTACTGTTTGGCTTCTGGGGAATCACTTCCCCTCAGTGTACCTTGGTTTCCCTGTCTTTAAAATGGGGATAATTACATGATCCTCCTTCATAAAAGCTTTGAGAGCCTCCGATGAAATTGGGCTGTGGAAGCCACGTGCAATTGTTGTTACCATCGTATTTATAGAGAAAAACGACGTGGCCCCTGGCCAGAGGAGTTTACCACCCAAGTTAAATAAGGGTCATTGTGACAATAGAGGACTTACACAGCATGAGAACATGAGGTAGTGGATTTCTTACTCGGATGGCAGCAGGATCGAGTGGTTAGAGCAAGGCCCGGCGATGCTATTCTCTGTCCTGGGTGCTGTCCCTGGGTTTGCCCCTGATTCACTGTATGGCTTTGGGTAAATTACTCCCATTATGTGTGCCTTGGGAAGAGAAACTTTGTGATGTGCTTTGAGATCCTCGGCTGACAACCTCTGCGTAGATGTACAGAATTATTATCGTTGCACTGTGTGAATTGTGAGAGAGCTCAGTAACAGCCTGTCGTCTGCCTTAGTATTTATCCTTTGTTTTACAGTAGTGCGTGGGCACCCCCCAGCCATAGACAAGGACCCCAGGTTGCACTAGGTGCGGACCAAATGCAGAACAAAAAGATAGTCACTGTCCCCAATGAGCTTCCCGTCTAAGTAACCCTTATTACTTCTGTCTAATCCGTGTAATATAACCTTTATCTATATAAACGTCTAACACTTTTTTTTTTTTTTTTTTTTTGCAATCCCGCTAGGCACTTTGGCCTTTAGGATAATCTTGTGGCAAGGAGTTTCACAGGTGAACAGTCCATTGTATATAACAATGCCTTTCCCAAGTATCAGCTTTACATTTGTCGCCGTTCGGTGTCCCCTTGTTCTACTGTGCCAGGCAAAAAATCAGCAGGGTGAATGGGGGGTTGATTTCCAGAGGAAGACACAAAGAGCTACGTCTGCCTGGTTTTGGTAGGTGGCAGGTGGAGCAATAAAGAACCATCTTCCTGTATATGAAGATTTAAACCCCTGGGATGGGTGGGCGAAGGGGTTAAAACTAGGTGTCTGTGGGTGAAACTGTGGAAGACCTGGAGAGTGCGCAGAGCAGGGGCACAGGAGGGCTGGGGAAAATGCCTTAGCAACTCCCGGAGCTTGCCTGGGTAGTTACTAAAAAGATGGTCGAGAGCAAGCTTGGTCAAGATGTCTGTATCCCTTCGTGGGGAGAAAACACTGGCTACCAAAGGGCTCTTTAATCTAACGGAGAAGAGCAGAACAAGAAGTTAAAGCCAGACAAA